AATTTCCATCGAAGTTAATTGAAATACCGACTAATAATCAACTAATTCGTTATAAAAGTATTTAAGCAACTATTTTAAGTAACTATTACATAAACAAAAATATATAGAATATCAAAATAATTATTATTTTCGTTTTATTAATTATCATATTATATTCTAGCAAATGCACTGGTTTATAGATGTCAATTCAAATGAATTGTTTGAGGGTGTACTTTAGCCTAAATGTTTTAATAAATCGATTCCACTGTGCCGATATTTTCGAAGTTGAAACTATTCCAAAATATATGTACAAAAGTATTTTTCAAAATTTAAATTATTTTTGGATATATAGCTGTTAGCCATTTTCGCAAACTATGTTTTTTGATACGATACACACATTTCTCAACATCTACGCAACTGATTTACTTGACAATATTCCAAAGTCTTTCAATGCTTATCTTTGGGGTGATTTTTACAAATTACAAATTTTAAAAAGTTGTAATTTTTTTGAAGTAAAACTTCTTTAGGCGCGACTAGGGTGTAAATCCGTACAAATGCAACGGAAGTGCGTTACGGCAGATAAAAGTCGATAAGATAAGAGTCGAGTGCCAATGATTTGTTATTCGCGCTCGATGATATTTCTAGACGGGTCGATTGTGATTAGTCGTCGTGTATGTGAATAGAGAGCTGTCGTTGTATTCGTACCAATACCAACAAGGATATGAGCATAGATAAATAAACATTTTAAAGCTACATCATAGTACTAATCTGGATTTAATGAAAAATGTCTAAATCAGAAGAATATTTTACCCTGTTCCTTAAAAATAATAAAACAAATTAAACATTTGTTCCGTGAACTAAACGTAAGTTTATTGATTAGAAAATATTTCTATATTATTCGTAGTTTCTATGAATCTTTGAAGTTAATAAAATGGAAAGTATTTTTAGGCGAGACAGATATTACAGCCGTTCACAGAATGAGATTATATTGCCAGCAAAAAAGTAAAAAGAAAATACAAACAGTCAATGAATGTTAATTTTAATTACATGAAGTTTTTCAAACACAATTACATGATGAGTGAAGTTGTAAAAACAATATTTGTTTAGGCGTTGTTTAACATAATCCACTGTATGAACGAATATTATAGAATTTATTATCCAGCAATTACTTCATTTCTCTAATGAAGGTTCATTTCTAAATACTAATTACAATGACAAACCGATCATGTCATATCTGAAGTATGACTTTATTTACATTATGACTTTATTACAGTATGACTTTATTGTTTTTAAATATTATACATATTTTTAATGCTATTATAAATATAGAATTTATGATTTATCATTATATAGATGTGTATAATGGTTGACACTAAGAAGTGTGTACATCACGAGTGTTACCATATAAATAAACCTTATTCAAAATTGTTATATGATGTATTTTTTTTAACTTAAGTTTGCTGCTTTGTACAGTAGTATAAGTAGAAGTTTTACTTCAATCGCGTGTGATCCTTACGCACACTCTTTTTTTTGAACGGTCGCCATTTTGGTGAGACATTTCTGTAGCTTATACGAATGCATCACCGTAACGGCTAAACCTGCTTTTGCCAAAAACTAATCAGCACATCTCCCTATCAATAGAAATTTAATGTTTATTGAACCAATCAAATCGGTTGATCCGTGCGCACGAAAACGTGGACAAAGAAATGCGGACATACAAAACATGCACACACATGCATTCTTTCTTACGTATTCGAAGATGTTCAAAGACCTCTGGAACGTGAAGATTTGCAGAAATTTTTATTTTTGATTTTCGACCCATTACTATAACTTATCCTACGGGAAGTTAATTATATCTAATAAAATTCTTATCTTCAAAGTCTAAACAACCTATATAACGTGTCCCATATCAGAATATTTATCTACTGATATCTCCTAAAATTCCAGACAAACCTGATGAAATCATGCTTATTAAAAATCGATCGAACCTTAACATCATGTGCACAATAGTTCGTGTAATATCAATCGCAACGATAACAACAATCAATAAGTTCGATCCCATTAAAAACGCATCAAAGCGAACGTATAGAAATGGGAGGTAAAGAACTTCCGTTTGACCGGGCGGTCTAAGGAAATGGAAGATCCGCCAAGCCGTTCGACCAACCGGAAGCAGTTAACGTTTCTGGGTCGCCGCGGACGGATATCGTATTGACCCGGTCGGTTTGTGGGACCAGCGGTGACAGAAGGCGCGGAATAACAATCGAACTAAATGTTCTTTTTAGATAACATTTTATCTGGTATAAGTTTATCAAAAGAAACGAGGATAGAATTGACGTTACGTATTATTTTTTTCATAAAAGTTACGTTCTGTTTTCTTGCTTTTAAACTTTGCCAGAAACAAATCATTTTTCATTCGAAACAACTCTAATAACTATCATTCTTTGAATGAGTTGTGTGTAATGTATAATGAAAAAGTACAGTTGACCCTCGGTTAACACGGCACTCTGGGTGCACGGTTTCCATACTACGCGGAGCTAAAAATCCGACATCCCTCCGACTACACAGACTTCCTATTACACGGTTTTTGTCCAACAGCCCATAAGTTCCTTGCGCAACCTATGAGTGATTATAGGAACTTTATATCTAAAGAGTATTAATGTAAGTTTTGTTATCGACTTTTATCTTCGTGCTGTCTAAGTACACGTTTGAACTGACTATTGCGTCACGCCAATTTTTGAATGAGTTGTCTATGTCATACATATCATTTCGTCCGTATTACTCCTTCTTCAAGTTGTATTTCTTGGTCTCCATATAGCACGATAAAAATGGTTCGATTTGTACTAACTCTGAGTCTCTCATAGTGCGATTGCCATACTGCACTATATAAGTTTCCATAGAACGCACTACGAAATAGCTTGAATTGTATGTTAAATACGAGTTTTCTATAGCACGGTCCCCATACTGCGCGGTACGGATTTGCCGCGTTAACCGAGGGTTGACTGTATATGTATAAGTGGATGCATATTTAATTTTGTTCATTTTCAATAATCAAAATAAAACTAACACACTGACACAAGTAATGGAGACAGAGTTTCACGAAACACACAAAACATAAATATTAGTCAGAAGTTTGGGATGAAGAATCTGCTGAGACCTCTGTTGAGCCATGAAAGTCTGATGAGCCAGAAAAACAAATAAACGCTATCCTTGACACAATCAAACCTATGTTATTGCATGCCTCTGTTGTATGAATTGTCCCACAAATGATGAAACTTGCCGGCAAACTTTAATTTTTTTTTTAAATGACACTCTCAAAGTCGAACTATTTTGAAAATTTTGAAATCATAGTTCAACAAAAATTCTTAGTTCTTGAAAACGATGTGCTATTGTGTTATTGTTTTTGACTTTGTCTTTGACAACAATCGAAAAATGGTCATAATTTTATCAAAGCTCAAAGAAGAACTTACAGAAACTACAGACAACATTGAACAAAGCGCTAAGACTAATGCAAGATGTATCGAGTGACCCACTGACAAGACGCTACTATTAAACAAAATACATATAAGAACAGACTGACGTACGATTTTAACAGTATGTATACGATTTTATAAAGAAGCTCACTGAGAATTTTTACCTCAAATGTAGAAATCACGACAATATCAACATTCGGGCACTTGGCCAATTCACGAAAAAAATAGTTTGATATGGCAAACACGCCATGCCAAACTGTATCTTCACCGACCCGGCTGCAATTGAAATATAATGAAATGAATGAACATATCGATTTTGTAATTATTCTTTTTGACATAATTGCTATGCAATTACTATGTATGTGTATTTTAAACACTTAGTTTCAAATATTGTTGTGTTATCTTTTTGAGAAAGTGTCAAACCTTCTTATGTCTTTCTCATATGTAAAATAAAGATACTATTTTGTCTATATTATTGTATATATATGATATACTGTTTATAGTGATCAAAAAATGTTGACTGTTTACGAAATGTACAATGAATTGACATCAAAATCCCGAGCAGATTAGAGATACACCTAAATCAAACTATAAAGGACATCCTGCGACCTCAACAAAACTCAAGATTGGGAAAGAAAACGGCTTCTTGATAATCTTTAATCTCCATCGTTAAAAATATATACTATGAAAAAACGTATTGTAAGATAGATGGATGGATCCTGAAATAGTCTACAGTACAAACGTTTTTATATAAAAACCCTGAAACGAATTTAAAAATTAAAAAAAATATAGTAATTTAATTAATAGTAACTTAGAAAATTACTGAATCTTTCCTCAAAAACTAGTCACAATTGAAAAAAAATTATAAAGTGTATTTTGAACTGTATTTATCAATAAAACACTAAAAAAGTGAGTAAAACTATGAAGTAGTATAACATAACCTTATAATGACACGCTATTGGCAAAATAAACATTAGTCCGACTTCTCGCATATGTTATTTTTAAGTGCAACAAATTGTTTAAAAGACTCATGAAAGTTATCTTTTTTGCACTGGTTTATGTTGCCAGAAAATCCGACTTGCTAATTTTGTTTTTTTTAAGTTTCAAGTCTTTCTGGTTGGTTTGATACTAAATTTAGAAATAGTATGTAATTTAATATTTATTTCTTTAGTCAAAAACGATTGTACTGATTTTAAAGTTTTGAAAGCATATGCAGACTAATGTCATAAAACGTAGAATATATAGAAGTTTAATCTCTACCAGATGTAAGAAACGGTTAAGCAAAACACCCAGATCAACTGGCTTTAAATGATTTGCTTTAAAATTCATCCAGCCAAGATTCTGAACTGGCAAACATGTCATGATAGGCTAAATAAATAATATTCATTAATATATTATTTAGTAAAGAGTTATATATTTGTCAAAAATGTTAGCTTGCAATTGAGTATTGAGGCGTTTTAGTGCATCATAAAAAACAATAACTGCTGCTTCATAACTTAGCACATAAACATTTTAGATTAAAATTAGTTATTTATTATACTTTTTTCTTAGTGAATCACGACATGGACCCCAGCATTTCCAAGAAGCCCTAGGGCTGCTCCAGGCATCTCAATATTGGTACACAGACGATGGCATCGATAACTACGTCATAAATAACGTTCGAATCTCCCAGACTCCAGATGGTTTGGTGAGGATTGCCAGAAACAGCAACAAATGTATGATCCGCACAAGCCCAGCAAATGGATCGGCCACATTAACGACACCTTTCATGCATTGCACGGCATCCATGGGACACACGTCGCATTTATTCGTCAGGTGAGTCGAGATAATAAATACATTATTTTCCTATAGGAATTGACTCAGAATTGCATATTCATTCAGTATTGACATTGATACATATTGACATAGTAATATTTTATGGATCTTGTTGAAATAATAAATGCGTCAGTAATCTATATGGTACAAAATTGAATAGATAAAATAGTGGAATATATGATATTATGCTTTACCGCAAATTACTGGAACTTCCAGGTTTTATAAACGGACATTACATAAATATAATGTATTTAAAATAAATCTAACTATAAATTGCGTAATGGAATTATAATAAATTATTATTCTAATCAAGAAGTTCAAACAATCGATTTTTTAAAGTTTCACTATTTAAGAATATATGTAGAAAATGATTTTTCAAATAAGCATTGTTTTCTGAACTTTATACGCGTTGTTCTCGAAACTGTCTTTTCTGGTTACGATACCCACGATTTCTCAACTTTTATTGAATTGAGTTTTCATTAAAGGCTTTTCGTCGGTAAAAACTAAGCTCATCCTCTTTTTCCAACTTTTACTATTTGTGAAATATTCGAAAATATGAGAAAAAGTAATTTTCTTCCAAACAGTTTTTATTTTGTGGTAAACAATTTTTATTAACTTGTTCCTAGTCCATACGAATGCGACTTTAATTCATATTTTTTTCGTATTGTTTGGACAGCTAAAATGGGGTAAGTTAGGTGCAATCCTCAAAACAATAGAAATATCAATGTGAATAATAGTTATTATCTAAATTTTAAAGTTTCCAGAATTTTTTGCATTGCAATTTGGTTTCGCCAAATGGAGTATTAAACTCTGCATAACACAAAAGTATTTTTATTCATACATTCATTTTTATTCATATATTCAAATGTTAGGTTTGTGATTATTTATTTACCATGGGGAAAAAATTATGAAACTATATATTGGTGCTCCAGATTTACATATTTAATATATGAATAATAAATATGACAACTTTACCATTTTAAAATAATAAAATTTTGTAAATTTTCCATAAGAAGTATTACAATTTACTTTGATGATTATTACGTTAATTTTTGCAACTAAATTAAAAATTAATTATTCAATTCAAGAGCAGAGTGAAATAGTGAAAATATGAAACTTAATTACATTATCTTAAATTCAACGAGAAAATTCAAATTTAACATGCAAGACAACTAAATACATTTATCGCTAAACCGTTTAACAATGACAATTTAGAACTAATTTACTCGCTCATTCTTAGAAATCCCATCTGTAGCTTTAAGTTTTAGTATTTTTTTAAACCAACTTTTATTTCTTACGTAAATTTAAAATTGCAATTGTTTAGAATTAATTTGTATAAGAAACAAGAAATAATGAGAATTGGCATCTCCTGCACAAATTAAATATTGTCTAACCGACTCAATGCATCCTAGTATTGTATTATCAAACCCAGTACACAATCAGGGGCTGTTGTTTTATACATATAAATGAAAATCTACTAAAAAATGCGATTTTGTTACATCTGATTATAAAGATAGAAAATAGCGCATGTATCTTTCGTGATTATTTATTGAGCCGTATAAGAAGCATCATCAAGAGAAATATCTCATTCAGCATCCCAAAATATAATATAAGCTTACTAAGTATATCAGTATTTTTAGTATAAATAAAATATGTCCGGGGATATACTTCATATTTTTCCAAATTTTCACGGCGAATGGATGTATGATTGAATGAAATGAATTCCTAACAATTAGACTCACAGACATTCTTACATCCATTTTCATGTATTAGTGTATAGATCAATTCAGATACAAAACTAATATTATTTTTATTAAATCAACTAGTAATAAATTCATTACACCAAAAGAATATTATAACAACAATAATATAAAAATATATTATAATAATAATAATAATAATAACTAGCTGTAAGTGGAATTCTGTCTTAAGGCAATTAGGGCATCGTGCCTTAAGGCAAATTGCTGGAACTTCCCGTACCAAAAATTATTATTTTTTTAAAAACGATTAACATTTTTGAAAAAAAATTAATTAAAAAAAATAAGATTTCTGAGAAACTATAAATTTGACAAAAAATTACTTTTTTTTGAAAAAAAAAATTATATGAAAAAAAAATTTTTTTTTGAAAAAAAAATTTTTTTTTGGATACAAAAAATTTTTTTGAAAAAAATGTTTTCTTCATTTTGACATATTTTGGAAATTCTGAACTTTTTTTAAAGCAATCGCACTGCTTGAACTGCATAGAGACGAAATGTCAAAGCGCGCATGTGCCGCGCCGCCGTCTAACGCATAAGCATTGGTACGGAACCCATAAAAATGTAAAAAAAAAATATACTTATTGTTAAAATCTCTATAAAATATCTGATAATTTGATGTGCATATGTCTAAGGATAATTTTTAACCGCCGAATGGCATTATTTTTTACTTTTTTCATTAGATCTCCGAAACCGCTAGACCTGCCTCCATGAAAATTTGATCAATTCTACATCTTGTCAATACAAGTAAAATGTTTTTTGAATTATTCAAATCGGACGCTCCGTTCTCTTAAAAACGGAGGTACCGTTCTTGGCACTTTTTGCCCCGTATCTTCGGAACGGCTAGACCTGCCTTTGCGAAAAACTAATCAGCACGTCTCCTTATCAATACGAATCGAATGTTTTTTGAATTATTCAAATCGGTTGATCCGTGTTCCCAAAATCGTCGACGAAAATTTGTATCCGCACATACATACACACACATACATACATACATACATACATACATACATACATACATACATACATACATACACACACACACACACACACACACACATACATACATTTTTTCTAAGGTATGCCAAAATGTTCAGAAGGTTTTGAAACGTCGAGAAATGCAAAAATTTTCATTTTCGATTTTTTTGCGATTACTATAACTTACCCTACGGGAAGTTAATAACTATTTTAACAATATTATGCAAAGCATTTATTTTTTAATTTGGTCCAGTTGATGTAATTATCTCGGTATAAATTAGTATTAATAATTTCAAAATTCATACCATATTAAAAACATTAAAAAAAACATTATCAATATTCTTATTAATTTTATATTATATTATATTGCGGATACTTTAACTTATTAAGGGATATACCACATTTTACCTTTTAATGCCATTACACCAATTGACAAAGCCATTTATACACTAATAATGTGCAATAGAGTGTGACACTATATTTCCTAAATGATTGTAAATATAAATCAAACACCAATCTATAAAAATATAAAAATGTTATTTGAAATTAAATAATAGTATTATTTGCGTATCAAAATTGCGACACGTGTTCTTCAGTTTGTTTTTAGACATAATTTGTTTTGTTGAAATGTCATATCATCATATATATCACCGAAATAAGCGCACGTGCGTGTTGCTCATGATGTGGAATAATTGTGATTTGCAAATTTCATGAAAATTTGCATTAGGAAAAGCAAGACATTTGAAGACTCAATAAAAAAGCAATAACAGATAATAGATAGAGAAAACACTGATGGTGAGGGTTTTACTAAATTGAATAATTTTTAAATACTAATATTCAAACCTTAATTTTCTGATTATACAACTCCTAAAATAATCTTTTTATTTAGATGAATATGATAAGAATGTTACAAACTTTATATCTATTTTTTATCATGGAACTAAATGTGTTTTGATCCTCAATTTATTTAAGAATTTGAACTCAATAAGAAAAACCTAAAGCAAACGTATGGTTTATCACAATTATTGCCAATTTCCTTTCTTTGGTCTTGTTTTACTTAAACTTTAAAACACAAAAAATTACATGTATGAAATTCAAAGATACAAAAGTTTGCAAATTTTGAACTTAATATTTTAAATAAGTTATCAGTTTGCTATAAAATACACAAATGTTATTTTGTAGAAGAAATATTTGATTGTTCTAAAAAAACCAATTCTTCAACTAAGTAGAATCAATAGTTTTGCAAGCAAAAATTTTTTAAATTTAGATTTTACTTTATAAGCATCTCTATTTTTATTTTATATTAAATATCTATTGATGTCATATAATAATAAATGATCAATATATATACATTGTCGCTGCTATTACAAATAATGTATGATAATATATTCCGTTTCCTTAAAATAACTTTATGAGCAAGGTTTCGTTTCTAAAATTTCCCCGAATTGGAGCTTACGTAAAAGCTGATTCATATACCTTACTTTATAAGCTGCTTAAATGTTTAAGGAATAGATAACGTATTATTCTCTTTGATATACCCTCATATGTGTATTTTCATCTATTTTCACAAATTAATAAAGGATTGTGACTTGAATTTGTAATATGCCTAAGCTTCAAACAAGAAGCACAAATTTTTGGTATGATACTCGCTCATGTGTTCATTTATCATTTTTACAGTTTTAATCAACTTAATGAAAAATTATGATTATATTTATTATGTGTACATATTTTGATACATATCCATACAACAATTGGCGAAAAAAAACTAAAGAAACAAGAAACGGCCAGGCTGTATCTTTACGAAAGCACGATTTCATTTAATCACGGCGATTTTCAACGGCTATCTTTCAAACAGGTTTTGAACTTTCAAAATTGGTTCAAAATTTTTTACATTTACCTACTAACTATAAGAAACGTTTCGACCAACTTATCAATGCGATTTCTTATCTAGTTTCATCAAATAGCTTTAAAATTCTTAGAATATTTACAGACGTTTTCGTTCACAAACACCTTGTTTTTTTTTTAAGTTTTGATGTCAAACAATTCACTATTACTTGAAACGTCCAGAAAATATTTCGAACCTTAGAATTACAATTTTACATCTAATCGGTACATTTTTCATATCCAAGATTTACGATTGTTCAAAAGTTCAAAAACATATATTTCTTTAAATAAAATAGAAAATACATAAGAAGGATTCATACATAAGGTGTCCACCATCGAGTGTTATCATACGTTTGCATTACATGGTAAATCGTTCATATTATT